ATTGAGTTATTACAAAAGTAACCAAATATAATATGATACAGGATATCCGAGGGTTTCCGAAGCCGCTAAGACTCTGGATATAAATATCCAGAGAACATGAAAAGCTTTTTTTAGTCAAGGCAAGAACTTTTTTCAGGAAAAAGTGCTTTATGACGTTTTCAGAAAAGTTTTGAATGAGAAATTTGCTTTAGGTTTGAAAAAAAACCCAAGTACCGTGTGGTATAATGTACCATGGTACCTTATTGGTTCATGTACTGAGAACTGGTACATTGTACCGTTTCCTTTGCCTACGCGTCACAACTTGACCAACTACAGTTGAGCGAGGAGGTATCTGTAGCTGCTCGCACTCCGCCATGAAGCCCATCGACGCCACCACGCATGAATACGCGCGTATCAACGTAGGTGTGTCGGCTTCAGGTCGCATGCAGATCCACCCGCTTGCGCTTGCGTTGGGAGTCGTGGTTGTATTCATTGTGGTCTTCCTGGTGGCTGCGTCCTCGTACCAGAAGCAGCAGGTGCAGATCATGGCCCGCAAACTGCTTCGCAAAAAGCGCAAATCCGTCACAGAAGAGGACAGAGGCAGTGGCGGTGTGAACCCGGTCTCGGATCTCCCGGGTTTCGCGCGTCAGGCGGCCGAGTCGGGCAACGCGCGCGTCGTCAAGCGCTGGGTCCACTCTACGGACCGGAACGTGGACGCCCGTAGCAACGAAAACCTCACGGCGCTACACTACGCTGTGCGCGGTGGTCACAACGAGTGCACAAGGCTGTTGCTGACAGCCAACGCTGACCCGAACGCTACGGACGAGCGCAGCATTACGCCCCTACATCTGGCGGCATTGGGCGGCCACGCGCTCTGCGTGAAGCTGCTGCTGGACCACCATGCCGATCCGTTCCGAGAAGACGTGGACCACCATACCCCACTGTACATTGCCGAGCAGAGTGGCAATATCGGATGCGCGCGCTTGTTGCAGCGAGCGATGGCCAAGGCGGCTGTCCAAGACGACGCGTCCGTCACGCTACGTGCTGGTGCCAGCACCGCCCGTGTCGACAATGCAGTCTAAGATCAAAGTTGTCAACGTTCGGATAACAGAAAATTTAATTCAGCAAAAACAAATAAACGTTTCAAAATCGTCTAGATCTCTACAATTTGGAATCGCGGCGAGCATCAAACATGGCACCAAGGGCGTTCACCAGTTGATCCACTTCGTGGTGCGTGTTGTCAGCGTGGATCACGATACGGAACCGCTCCGCACCCTTCGGTACAGTCGGGGAGCGAATGGGGATCACACGGATTCCCATCGCGTTCATCTGCTGGGAAGCCCTCAATACACGATGGTTGCCTTCGAATACGACACCTTGGATAGGAGAATCGCTGGCTAGGAGAGCATCGTGCGGGATATTCGGACAACGGCTTATCTTGCCCTTGAAATATTGCACCAGTTCGATGACATGATTGCGTAGTTTTTGGGCTGCGAGGCTAGCACAGAATTCGTGTACAGCGATGATTGATACGAGCTGGTCGAATGGAAATGCGGTCGTGTAGATGAAGGACCGCGCGTAGTTGACCAGATAGTCGATCAGCACTTGGGATCCGCACACTACAGCGCCGTGGCAGCCCATGGCCTTGCCGAATGTGTGAACGCGACACACGATAGCGTTCTCATACTTTTGTTCTAAAGCCAACTCACGTACAACACCGGAACCGTGAGGACCGTAGACGCCAGTGCTGTGAGCCTCGTCGACAATTAGAAACGCGTCCATCTTCTCACAAAGCGAAGCCATAGCATCCAATGGAGCGAAATCGCCGTCCATAGAGTACAGTGACTCTACCACCACATATACACACGGTTTGTGCGCATCGTCTCCGCTTGAAGACGACGAGTAGTTTTGTAGTTTACGTTCGAGATCCTCCAGATCGTTGTGTCTGAAGGAGAATGAGCGGTCGTTCGCGTACGCGCGACTCAATCGAATTCCTTCGTGGCACGAGTTGTGTACCAGTTCGTCGTAAAGAATCACGTCCTCGGTTTGTGGTACACAAGACATGACGCCCACATTGGCAGCGTAGCCTGAATTGAACAGCAGCGCTGCCTCACTAAAGTTCAAATAGGATTTCCGTCAGTCCAGAGCTCTTTGCAGGTATTCTAACAGCTTCCTACCTGTTGTAGAAAGTAGCCAGCTTCTTCTCCGTCTCCATAAACAACCGTGAGTTGCCTGAAATGAGTCGCGAGCCCGTGGCCCCCAGCATGTGCATGTGCTGGCTCTGTAGCTCTTTCTGACGCGTCTTCACGAGCTCCTTGAGTGGCTGCGAGCGTGCGAAGCCCAGATAGTCGTTCGAGTAAAAATCGACGGCGGCAGGAACATTCTCATCCTGCACCTGCAGCGTGCGCAGCGTGCCCACAGTACGACGGCGAGCCAGCGCGCGGCCGAGCTTCTCGTCCACCCGCGTCATTGACACACCAGCTTGTCAATTGTTGACGTGCATCTCGGTGGGGCTTGTATTCGGGCAAAACCAGGTGGACCACATGAACTTGGTGACTCAGACAACTTCAACATCCTATAGTTTTCTATAGGATAAAACACAAATAGAAGGCCATTAACCTCAACATCCTATAGTTTAGATGACAGTAGCATGCTCTCAGCCTTGTTGCCAGAGGGATTAGATTTTATAGAAAAAGTATGCCAATACTTTGCTTACCTGAGTGATGTCACAACATAGTTAGAAACGTTGCTGAATGATGAATAACAGATATTTGTTATGAACGGTTCCGATATCAGCGCGATCTTGAGGAATTTATCAACGCTCTCTGCAAGAACAGCATATCAACCCCTTGGATCTCAACCCCTGGGCGCCTTTAGCCGTGAGATTTCTTTCTGCATTTACGCGAGATCGCAGAAATGCAGATTATGGCTTCTAGCTAGTTCTTCTTCCCAGTCTTCGTTAGTAATTGCGTTCTTGGCAGTCTCATGTGGCAAGCGTTGCTCGGTGCCAAGGGGGAAGTCAATCTATGTGTACTACTGGACGAGTTATCGCGGCTCGACTGCGCTCTTCACACTGAATAATGGTTAGATACACAGAGCTAATGTTGAATTGTACTAATCACTACGACGAACCTGGCAACGTCGAAGCTTAAAGCAAAGACGTAGATCTTCAACTTTGAATCTGCTGGCAAATTGACAACAGAGCACCGACCCTCGTGCACAACCAATGTAGTTCAGCAGCGTGTAGCACCGACAGTGAGTAGGGCGCGCTAGTTTACAGTCTATCTGCCTTTGGTAGATGGAAGCAGTATCACTAGAATACAATACATGTTACTTTAATCTTTACGACTTTATACAACACTAACTTCGTAATTAGAAAATGGGCAACTACAGATGACGTCGTAGTGAGAGCGCATCACTAGGATGGCCCAGCATGTCCGCCACACACCCAGCCCTACAAAATCAAAAAGACGAAGGACGGATTCTATGCAGAACCGCCTAATTGCATATCAGGCGTCTATAGGCATACAAACATAGCACTCAAATAGAAGACCACCATTCTCTCTCTTTCAACAAGTTCAACTGATCTTGTGCAACAAAGCATATACAGTACAAATCGTAATCATCTTCGCTAACTTTAATAAAGTTGCGTTCTTGTACTTTTTTTAAAAAGAAAAACACGTAAAAGTAATAGTAAATATCGCATGGGGCTGAGATCCCGCGATGACCGACTCGAGGCCAGTGTTACCCGGACTGGTATTGGGATTCCCCATAGTGAGTCCTGGACTGGTAGATGTCGTCTTGGTCGCATCAAGCAGCGGCGATCAATCTGCGTAGTTCGTTGACAAAACCAAAGTGAGGAGCGAAATGGCACCCATTTTACTTCAATGCCAAAACGGACTGCCGTTCGCCGACACACACACTTGAAGCGACACAACTCCGAACTGCAGTGAATGATTCATTTCCATGCTTCCTATTTTGATACGGGTATTTTCAACAAGCTCTTTTTCGGTGCGTTTCTAGATATCCACGACCGAATGCTGGAATCATCTCACCCCAGCTCACTCCTCGGTTAACGTGCAGGAAACCAGGTAAATGTTCTGTCCGAAGTACGGCTAGCTAGAAAGGTATCTTTTAACTATGGGATATGTAGAAATGGCGAAATAATCTCCCTTTTAGAGACTGATTCCTACCTCTTTGCACTGACCCTTAAAGGGCGAAAATGCACCATTGTAGCGCGAAAGGTTAACTTCAAAATGGCACATTTCTAGTTCGATAGTTTTATTTGTTAGTTAGAGGTGCCATCGTTAGAAATGGATGAACACAGGGCGACAGTCCCATCTTCGTGCAACATGCAACTGCAAGTTATTTATCTGTTTATATGTATATATATATGTATATGTTTGCGTGTTTTTTTTTCAGGGACTAAAACAATACCTCGCTTAACTGTATCCAATGTGAACGCGCTATCGACTCAACGGACCTCTACGATTGAGAAAGAGGCTGCATGTTACAGAAGAAGCTTTTATCTCTGAAGCAAATTGAAAAGTGAATTTTGGTTTTTACTACTTCTTCTAGCTGCTCTACGAACCAGTCCTTCTTGGTAATCTCTGAGCACCTCGTAAACAATAGATGTAAACAATGGATCCTCGAAATGGTCATCATCGAGTATTCGGTATACAATATACGTATACTGTTCAAAAGGTGAAGCAGTCTGCTCGTTCATCCCAGCACTCAGTAACTCATGCACTATTGCTACACCAAACCAGCGCTGTTCCAATTCTGCCAAGCTATTATCGTGGTGGTTTAGGTCGGCGAACGGTAATGAGCAAAACCTTTTCCATCCGTGTCATCACTGCATCATCGACGCTCGGAAGCATACTTTCTCTCATCGTTCTAGTTCGAGCCGACGTATCCAACGTATTTTTCCTCAGTGTCCCTTGATTTCCAGCTTCGTTCTTGACCTCCTTGGATTGTACGTCCCACCTTCCCTTTCCTTGAGCATTGGCACCCAGCAATTCTTCTGGGTTTATATTTTGTGTTTTATCATGGGCTAAAAACAATACCTCGCTTAGCCCAAAGTGCTATTCGTCGAGGCACTATATTAATGACCCAGGACAAATTCCGGTGTTGTTTACCTGTTCCAACCTCCAAAACCATCTTCAGCTAAGGGTTTTTGGACCCCGAAGCGTGACGACTTTCGCCAAATCTAATCGGGACTGTTCGGACAGTTTACATAGGTACAAGTCGGAAAAGACCTTGTGCAATACGAGAGTAGAATAACGCGCTGATGTCCTCACAGTCGACAGGAAATGAAGGAGAGAAACAACACAAACAGGAGATAAACATGCTAACTTCGTGTCCACCTACAGGAATCGCATTAGATACTCCGGAAAGCTATCAGTTCATTCAAGTATGCCTACTATAAAGCATGCAGTGGTTGAGTTAATGTGGCATCTAATTCTCAATTGTTGCAGCAATTTATCAATGGAGTCTGGAAACCTTTGAGCATCACCACGTCGGCTTCATTGGTGAAATGCGTGATATGGGGACGATCAAGCGCAAGATGGGTGTTCAGTTCTGCTACAGAACAGCGAAACCACGCCCACTGCCAACTTCTTACCGTGGCAATGAACATATATACTACATGTAGAAAGGAAGCGTGATCTCCGTCCGAAACACTCCCATTGATATGTTTCATGCCGACTGTAGCTATTGTAGTATTGACGAGTCATCATGCAACCGCACATTGCTGTAAATAAAAGATAAGCATCCTAAATGTTTCGAGCTCAACCCATCTCCAACTCGTTTAACCAACAGTAAGCATATCATGCTCGAAATTTCAGAGCTTCTCCGTGCGTAACACGACTTTGTCTATCAAAAAGTTTCTGATCATTTAAGACTTCTTTGGGTCAAATGTAATAGTACTCACGACTGTGCATTGACCAACTATGCGGTTACTTCACCTGAGCCCTAATGATATTTCTACTAGATTTCCCATTGCAGAACCACTATAGAATAGCTGTGAGTTTAAAAGTTCGCCAACAAAGCAGTGTGAGGATGTTTTTAGGCTCGATTCTTTCATTTTTACTACGAAAAGTAGCATTCGTCACCGTATGTTCTCGGCCCAAAAGTCTCTGTTTGCAGAGATTTAGGAGGTGATTCAGGGGAAAGCTGTCTTCAGGTAATCTTGGAAATCCTTTTCCGTCGTGATCGGATGTCCGTCAAGGGTCGTGCCTTCGGGCAGTAGCACATTCTCCAGGTTAATGGATTTGTAGCTACCACTGCCAGCCAGGGTGAAGGTACACTCAAAACTTTTAGCCTCTGCGAAAATGCCGATGAGCGATGACACGGTGAGTTCGGGATCGTCCACGCACTCTACTAGGCGCTCTAAACACTTTTTCCCCTGCACAACGCCGTGGTACTTCTTCACATGACATTTGTTCGGACAATCGTCGCTGTCACTGCCATCAAGTGACTCGGGGTCATACTCAGGTTTCCGAAGATTCACGGGATTTCCAGCGCTGGCGGTAGCGATGACGGTGGCCATAACGGGTAGAAGGATCAGGAACTTCATTCGAGAGAGAGAGTGAGAGAGGGGTGAGGGAGGAGCAGCAGGGAGTGTGTTGATGTTTGTGAATTGAAAAATGACAACACGCTCCGCTGACGGGGAGTATCCTCACCGAGAAGTGCGTTGTTTAGATAAAATATTAATATCGTACCCTGGAGGAAGGAGGATGCCTTGTGGTCTTGAAAGCGAAATGTAAGAGGCAGCTGGACCGTTCTTCCCTTTGAATCGATGGCCAAACAATGGGTGGATGCACGATGAGTCCATCGGTCTCCATCGTTGAACCGTAATAATACATGCAGTCCTCTCAAAATACAGATACCAAAAAAAAGTACGGTAGTGTACGTTTTGGTCTACATTTGAGGCTCACGCACTTCGAGTAAACAAAAAGCAAAGATACCAACTGTTAATAAGCACTGGATTCCAGGGACTGGAAGGAAAGAGAACAAAAACACCGATCTGTTCTCAATGACTGCACGTACTGGATGGCGTGACGGATGAGCTCCATTTTTTTTGTCGTGGTTGCAGTAGTGAAAGCAAATTGACACGAATATCACATCACCCCCAACAATGTGAAAGACAATGTGAGGTATCTATTTACAATGGGCCGATTCTTTTGGGCCGTCGTCCACTAGTTCAGTACGCCAACATCCATCATGGTAGATACCCCCCCCCCCCCCCCCCCCCCACCCCCGGCTCTTATTGTCAAACGACCTGCATCACGCGTTTTGTGATGTCATTCTTCGCTGTTCACGTATCAACTTACGCCCACTTGCGACAGACTGGGTAACTTGAAAGAGGTGAAGATAAATATTCACGCCAAATCGCCCTACTGTGCGCATAAACTCGAGTGTATTGTATGTTCATGTACCGACCAATCTTATTAACCTTATTAATATGGACATCCGATCACGACGGAAAAGGATTTCCAAGATTACCTGAAGACAGCTTTCCCCTGAATCACCTCCTAAATCTCTGCAAACAGAGACTTTTGGGCCGAGAACATACGGTGACGAATGCTACTTTTCGTAGTAAAAATGAAAGAATCGAGCCTAAAAACATCCTCACACTGCTTTGTTGGCGAACTTTTAAACTCACAGCTATTCTATAGT